GCATTTCAATAAAAAGACTTCTCATCTACGTGACACTAATATCTAATATATTCAGATGATCTAGTTATTATTATTTTTTAATAGGTACAGAAAAAATATTTTACACGAGAAAGTGAAAATAAGAAATAGGACTTGCTTCGTTTAGAAGAACTTCTACATCTAAATGATCGTCTTGACTCTTTTTTATCTACATTTCATTTGTTCGTACGAAGTCATTTACCTATTTAAAAATTGGAGTGTTAATTTGTTTTATGCTATTTTGAAGTTCATCTGGTTATGTTATAATTGAAGTCATGGCACAAATAATTCTAAATTTATGTTGTTACTGTTTGGCTTTCATTTCTTAAAATTCAAAATTTTTTTAACTCATTTTTCGCTACATATTTTATCAATTTTTTTTATCAAAATCTATTGAAAATTTGATTTTTAGCTAAACAAAATGGGGGCACAAATATACACGATTATCGTGAACGTAAAACATGGGAGATTTGAAGTTCTTATATGTTCTATAAATAACTTTCTTGTACAGTACTATTTTACATCTGTTATTTACGTTATTCGGTGAACAAAAAATGCTCATCCCTTTTCGTGATTATTCGGTGTTCGTGATGTGTTGATGGTGATCGACATTTCAAACCATTAACATTTAGTACAATCACACATTGCTTTATATTGAAATTTACGAAAATGATCGCTTGAGAGAATGTAAGAATTATGGTGTTCTTTCATTTTCTCGTATGATTGAGCTAAAGTATACAACTAAAGATTTCGTACAAGCCTAAAAGAATTTTCAAATCACTCATTGAGTTGTTGAAAAACTCACTGCTGTCTTATCTTATTCTTCAAATCACCATGATTTTGAGGATAGTTGAATGCTAATGGACTTGATAGAATTTTCAAATCTCCATGACCAGACTTTCAAATCACCATGACCATCTTTTTGTTAATCCTAGCTGGATAGGTCACAAAATAATAATTTGATACAAAAATCTCGATAAACTTCATTTGCAGTAACCGGACTTTAAAAAATTTCAATTAAGCCTCATTTGTTTTTCATTTTGCCCCATTAAAATAAAAAATATGACCGTTATTCATCATATCAAGTTACCAAATTTGCATTTCTATATCTAGTGTGGGGTCCATAACGACTATATTTTTCATGCTCATTCTTACAAAAATAGAAAACAAACGGGAACTAAATTATTATACTTTAATTTATCTCAATTAAGTCTCACGTTAATTTAGCCGCTTATTTTAAATTTTAGTTTCAAATTTCGCCACTCTCTTATATACTATGTACAAAACTGATGAAAAATGCACTATATCAAAATGAATCTTCTACTTCTTCACTTTAAAACATTTCAACTTACAACCATACCATGCCAAAAAAGTGTTAATTTTTAATCTAAAGACTTACCATTACCTTCATTTTTACTGATATTTTGGAGTAATTACATGGAAAATCAGTTACATTGTGATTGTTCACTAAGTAAATTTCGTCAAATTTAAATACCAGAGATGATAAATTATGTATAGTTGTGTTTCTCATTTTAATATTATTTATTACTATCTAAACTAAAGTTATAACATCAATCGTGCTAAACTACATTACTCGATTGAAATCAATGAACTATTTGAGTCAATTAAATTTAAAATTTCGTTGAATGTTTAGTGACAACCTATAAAATATATGTTTGGTTATGTGCCCATATAGTATAGTTTTGTCGATATAAAAAGAACAATATTCTCAAGTTAAATAAAATTGTATTTAGTTCATTTATTGCATTTATTTATTGTTGAGTATGCGAATTAAAGTGTATGTGATCACTTGTGATAATATAAGTTGGGTATTTATGTTGAGAAGTACAATGCGATACAACTTATATTTTCATCATAAATAATTTTTCACGATCAATGCATAAATGTTGGCACCTTATATTGAAAGGTTGTAGCGTTGATCGATTCACCATTAAGGTTCATGATGTTAAGTGCGACAATAGTATACTTGGAGTGTATTGAATGGTCCACGTGTCGTGTTAAATTCTGTAACATGATTGTGCAAAAAATTAGATTCCACTTGATCATTATGTATTTCATTTAAATTTCTTAATATGGTTATATATATCTTTCCGTGATTTTAATGGTTCTTTAATTCATCAATGAGTGATATCAATTTGATTGGTAAAATATCTTGATTAGTTGAGAACTTGAAAATGAGCGAAGTAGAGAACATGAATTCGTTTCGAGAACTGTCGCCCTGAAAAATGGTTAGAGTGACTACTTAAGTATTTATCTGTTGAACCGTTAAAAATCGACCTCGTTGTTTAATGACGACTAAATTTTGACGTCTGTAATTAGTTTGCATGACCGTTGAAGAAAATAGCACTTAAGTTACTAAAAATAATTAGAAGGGCAAAACGATTATTTATTTTCATACATAATTATCGAATCTCGAATAGAGATAAAACACATGTATCGTAGGTCAAAGGAAATTATTACAAATTTATTAACTTTTATGATCTTATATATTCCAAAAGTTCAATTTTTTGCTTTTTATAAAAAAAGCAAAGACTAATAATTAAATTAGATGCTTTGGGATCGACTAGACAGGATCTAATTATTTGAGCTCCAATAATATATGTCCGATCAGGTTCTCATTGTAGATCTATAAAGTATTGAAGCTTAATTAAAGTAATTATAATAGTTTTGAGCTTAATTGTATTTAGTTGTAACTGCTATAAAAGTTATAAACTTAATTGTAATTGTAATTGAAATTTTAGAATTACACATGCAATTAAGTGTAAATTAATTGGATGTAGACCTTACGAGGGTGTTCTCAACTAAAATTTTAATAAATTTTAAAGGATTATAAATTCTAATGAATTTTATGGATTCCAATAGATTCTTACAAAATTCACAAGAATCTTATCAAATATGGTAAAATTTCAAAAGATTTGTTTCTATGTATTTTTAAGCTAGAAATTCATTCAAATCTTTTAAAATTCTCCTATTAGTGAAATATTTATAAATTCATTTCATTAAATTCTCAATTGGGGACACTTAAATTTTAAAGAATTTCATTAAAATCTCAATTAAAGACATTTAAATTTAGATTGGCTTTTAAAATCCATCACAATTTCAATTGAGAACGCCTTTATTAATTAAAACTTCTATTTGAATATGGAATTATTATTGTACATTGATTGAAATCAATATATCTCTATAAATAGAAACTATATAGAACCTAAAATTCGTACAACAATCATAATACATAATTTAATAGCATTCAAATTTGAAGAGAGAAAAATAAATTATTTTCTTGCTCTATTCAATTGTCTAGTTCAAGAATTAGTTTTTTATATTTAATTAAAAAAAGGCATTCACGCACCGATGTAATCTCGACTTTCAAGAATACCATGGATGATTTAGAGATTTGAAGTATCAAATTCATGGAATTAAAAAGTTGGAAATTCGAGATCCAATAGACTAGAAGTTCGTAATTAATAATTTACTCAAGAATTAACAATCATATTTAGGTTAAAATTTGAATCTTTTATCCGTGATATAATATATACGTGAATATTTATACAATCTTATTATTGAATTAAAGAATTTTTTTAATCTTTAGATAATTCGGTTTCCGCATTCCGATAATATAACAGTAGAATGTTCCTTAAAGCATGCATATATTGGGATTGGGACACAAGGCTGTCCAACACTTTTTACTGCGTTCACTACCCTACGCGGATGGCCTAATATATTCTGCAACATCAGCGGCCCAATCGAATACCCCCACGCAGATAATACACGTCGGTGACGGTCCGTCTACGACTTGCGGTTGACTGTCATCTTTTTTAAACTACCTTTTCACTACATATTTCGTACAAATTACGACAGGAATTCCTCTTAAAATTCTGTCTTTAATTGAAAATTTTAGAATCAAGAACTGGGATTGGTGGTGTTTTTCGGTTTTCAGAGACTTCTGGAAACTGAAATTTTCAAGGTTTGTCTTTATTTTTATTTTTTTTCCCTTTTTTTTTTTTACTGAATTTAACCGTTTGTCTTATTTCAAGTTTTTTTCTTGACTTTTACACCGTATCTCTTTGCGGGTTAATTCAATAAACAAATGAGGAATTCTTTTCAAATTCAATAAAAACAAGAAAAAGCCGCAGATTCGGTGGAGGCCAGCACAGAAACCCGTTACAATAGCGCATAGAGACAGGGCGGGTGGGGGCGGGGGGGTTAGACTCTTCTTTTATTATTTTATATGTATATATGCTTACGTTTATATATTGACAAAGAAGAAATAGATTAATATGAGTGTATAGGAATTATAAAATAGAAGTCGACTCGGCAAAGAAATAGCGGATGATCTGCTGAAAGTTAGGCTTTCCCAGTTTTAAGTTTTCCAGAACATTCAAAGACGTGTTTCTTGATACAAAATTTAGGTGATCTTTTTTGTTCTAGATTCAGATCGTCCTTCTTTCAGTTGAATTCTTTATAAGAATTCCGGGTTTATATAGATCTCGGCGTTGAACAGTCTTTTGGTCAATCGAATTTGATTTTCTTGATTCTGCTCTAGATTTTTCAGGTTAGTTTCTTGAAATTCGTAAAATTGACCTCGAATGATTGATTTTTGGTTGAAAATTGAATGGATTTGTGGTTTTTTGAATTGTGATGTATCGAAACATCTGTATCAGGTTTTATAGTAATACCATTTCTTATGTGTAAACTGTTCCTATTGTTCTTTACTTCCCTGCCAAAATAAATTTGCAAGTTTTTGCTTGTATATTGCCAATTATCTTAAAGTATAGAAGTGTTCTTTTTCTTGTTTTTTGGTTTAGGCTATTCCTGTCGTTTCCTCTCATTAGAGCTGTAGTCCTAGCATTGGATTGGATTGATGTGAAATGCAGAGATCACGCAGGGCTCTTCTGCAAAGAAGATCTTTGGAGAAGGCAATAGGTGGAAGGACTCACTTGTATAAAGTTTCTCTTTCTCTTGTTGTTGCTCTTTGGGGCCTTGTGTTTCTCTTGAATATATGGTTTGGCCATGGTGATCGTCACAAAGGTTAGATCATATTTATCTTGCAGTCTTAAATTTGTGTCGTATCAATTTTCATGAACCGCGATCCCGTGAGGGTGAGCTAACCCCGAAAACCCGTCCTCAGTTCGGATTGCAGGCTACAATTCGCCTACATGAAGCCGGAATCACGAGTAACCAAGCAATGTTATTTGATAGTAGTCACACTATTGGATCTATGGTGGCTAGCTCTTTGTTCAATTAGTTCTTTAATGAAATGCTTAGGTGTATAATGAGCCAGTGTGGGCTAAGAATTAGGGTGCTCAAGCTGGACTTGTTCTTGTATAAAGGTCCCAGAAATGTTCAAGCTTGGCTAGCTTAAAATATTGAAGCGTAGCTTGCATCAGCTTCTGATGTGTCAAATTCAAGCCAAGCTTGTGCAGTCCTCTTGGCCGAGCTTGCAAAGTTATGATTTTAAATAAGTTTCTAGTTTGCTTTGTTCTTGAGCTGACCTTGAACACGCTCTACACGAGCTTAATCACTATTTGCTTGAGCATGTATACATACCTAATAGGATGCTGGATCACAAGGTTGGACAATTGCTTTAACATTGGTGAGATTGCATCTGCATTTTTAGTCTTGTGGCTATTCTTAAAATTGTTCTTATCCAACATAATCTGCTCTTCATTGTTGAAATCACCTTCTGTATTGATTTTTTTTTTCACCCACCTGCTAAATTTTGAATGCTTTGATGGATGCAGATGAATCTCGTGAGTTCCCTTTTGGTACAAGAACGGGGGATGAAGATCAAATGGGGTCCGATAGGAGTCCCATATTAAAGGTGGATGAAAATCGTGTCGTGGGAATTCATCCAGAAGACTCTATTGTTAATTTGGGTGCAGAGGGTGAATCAAAAATCATGTCAGCAAGTGTGAAGTCTGAACCGGTCATTGCAGACCAGACTGAGGCCAACAGATTGGACTCGCTGGAGAATCCTAAGGACACTTCTAAAAGTGACAAGTTATCTCGTGCAGCCCTTCCAGGTCTCGATGAATTCAAGAACAAGGCATTAAATTCTAGAACTAGACATTTAAGTGGTGAGGCTGGAAACATTATTCACAGAGTGGAGCCTGGAGGGACAGAATATAACTATGCTTCTGCCTCAAAAGGAGCAAAGGTCTTGGCGTACAACAAGGAAGCAAAGGGTGCTTCTAATATCTTAAGTCGAGATAAGGACAAGTACCTTCGAAATCCTTGCTCTGCCGAGGAAAAGTTTGTTGTCATAGAACTTTCTGAAGAAACATTAGTGGATACAATTGAAATTGCAAATTTAGAACACTACTCATCTAATCCGAAAGATTTTGAGCTACTCGGAAGTCCTGTTTATCCAACTGATTCTTGGGTTAAACTTGGAAATTTCACTGCCGGTAATGTGAAACAAGCTAAAAGATTTGTTCTTACAGAGCCAAAATGGATGAGATATCTTAAACTGAATTTATTGAGTCATTATGGTTCAGAGTTCTACTGTACACTGAGTGTTCTAGAAGTGTATGGAGTGGATGCCATTGAGAAAATGCTTGAGGATCTGATCTCAGTTCAGGATAAGATAGCAGTATCCGAGGAACTGGTTAACGAACAGAAAACTACATCCAACCAGCACATGACTACTGAGAGTGATCATTGTCAAGATGCATTTGATGAACCTGTTAATGAACTTGGAAACTCTAATGGTAAACATGGAGCCACTGGAACCGATGTGCCGGACCCAGTTGAAGAAATTCGTCGTCAGCAGGTTAACAGGATGCCCGGGGATAGTGTTCTAAAAATTCTAATGAAAAAAGTTAGATCCTTGGATTTGAATTTGTTGGTTCTGGAGCGATACTTAGAGGAGTTAAATTCCAGATATGGTAACATTTTCAAAGAATTTGATAAAGAAATTGGAGAAAAAGATGTCATTTTGGAGAATATCAAGTCAGACATAAGGAGTTTCTCTGACAGCAAGGAGGTCATGGTATGCAAATATTTCACTGTGATTCTCGTTATATAGTTATTTTTCACTCGTCAATTGTTGGACTGTATTCTAATATTATTATTTTTGCAGAGTAAGGAGATCAGCGACCTTCTATCTTGGAAATCTCTTGTTTCCACACAACTAAATGATATATTCAGAGACAATGCTGTTCTCAGGTTTGTTCTTATTTCGTTAGTAATATGTGTTTTCTCACTTACGTCGTGGCAGTTCTTCTGCTGAACTTTGCTGGGTGCATTATTTCTTTTTGAGTAAATTTTTTTATTAACCGGTAACCTAAAATCCAGATAATTCTAAGATTAAGCTCTTCCCATTTGTCTGGCTGTCAGCTGGCCTACTACCTGCTGTCCTAATACTGAAAAGAGTCTGTTTAGGAATCGATTTATTATCAGGAGGTTTTATTGGGTGCGACTGAGGACATGTAGGTTGGGAAAGAATGGTTACATTTATGTAGATGAGATCATAAATCATTTTTGTTGTTGGCCTTCATTTGTCTGTATTTATAATCCAACAGTCAAGTAGACCACCATCCCCTTACGCCATATAGTGATTCCATAAGATTAGAAAACAAACTTAAGACTTGAATATAATAACAGACCTAAACAACACAATTTTCTGGTGTTCGGTTTTCTCATTTATCCAAATGGGTTTTGTCCTAGTCCTTATTGAAGAAAAACCCCACAAAATTTTGTTTCCTAAATGAAGTGGGATGAGCAATCCAAAAGAACAAAATTTTGGGTTCATTTACAAAATTATATGGTACAAATGGAATATGAATACAAATTTGTTGTTTCAATTCATTGCTTCTACTCGTTTATCTGATTATGCTGACAATCCGTTTGCTTTCCTACTTTGAATAGCTATAATGACAATGTTGTGTTTAATTTCAGATTGGAGGTCGAAAGGGTTCGGAAGAATCAGTTGCACATTGAGAATAAAGGAATTTTTATATTTCTGTTATGTATAGCTTTTGCATTCTTAGCTCTTTTAAGGATGCTGACAGAGTTGATTTTCAGTGTTTATGGGTCCCAAAAGTCCAGGAAATTTTGTTCAAATGGGTCTTCCTGGTTTTACCTATTACTGAGCAGTAGCATTACTTTGATCATCTTATCTTTGTAAACCTTCCAATTAATTAATTCTTTTACACATTATATAATATACTCTTTTTTTCATTACTTTATTGTTATCAACTTTCTACCGCGTTGCTTCACATTATTTTCGAGTGGCATTTGTAAATATCCCAGCAGAACACGGATTGTATTCATTCATTGTGTGCAATTTTCAACATCAAAACAAATTAGCAGTTTTAGCAACAATTCTTCTTCATTGCAAATTTACTCTGTAATCACCTGTTGAACCATTGTACCCACATTTCCTATTTGATTTCCGTGTTTATTGCCTCCTTAATTGTCATGCACAAAGATCCAATTTTACTCTGTATTCCTCTCCACAGCAACATTTAACAACATGCAAAATTTCCTGTAAAAACAGGAGCAATGAGCATTCCTTGTATTGAAGTGATGATAAAATTGTATGGTCAGGTAGCTTATCTGACTTTTTCATTAGTCACAACTTTTCTGTCTGTGATTGCCAAGAATACAGGAAATCAAATAGAGGTTATCAGAAAGTTTCTCAAGCTTACTCTTATGCTTAGCACATTCGTGATTTCATGCATGGATATGATATACTTTCAAACATCATGCTCGACCAATTATTTAACTTAAAAGAGTAAATATGATATACTTGTCAGCACAACAATCATGCTCTAAGTAACAACATGAGGCAAGAGTTTGAAAGATTTACCTTCAGTTTCATAATTTTGAGTTGCAGAGACTGCGTATACTCAGTTTCTCCAGCTTTGTCTGATAAGAGCGCTTGAAGCTCCTCTTCCAAGCTTTTCACATCCAACTCCCTAAGTTCTGGCTGAAACCATTCTCCACCCGTGGTGGAAGAACGTGAGAGGATAACTTCAACATTATTATTTTCATTTCTAAGAGATCAACAATTTAAAATCTGACTAATTTAAGTCAAAACAGTTTGCATTCAAGGAATATAATCAGCTTTTCATCATGTGTGTAGTAAATCCATTTTCTATAGAGCCAAAGACAGTGTATACAAATATCCAAAAGCAAGAGAATTCAATGGCCGCCTCATGCAGCGCCGTTGTTCAGCATATACTTTGTAGGAATTCGGATCAACAAAAAAATTTCTATGCACGCTTATACAAATAAAATAAAGAAGAGAAATAATGATGAATAGATAGCAATGTACCTGAAAGTCATTTACTTTACTCTTCACTAGCTCAACAGACTCCCTCAGCTGTGGCAGCAAAATAGCTAATTAATAATATCTTAAAGGTCAAATTTCAGAATGAAATTCACCAATTTCTGTCAAGACACTTCAGGGAAGAAAAGAAGGGTATGTTTTCTGCAATAATTCCACCGAGAAACAATAGCTTAAGATTTAAAGATCACAGATTCCATTGCTTTAAAGGTTTAAAATCAAAACCTAGAAGGGAACATAAAGGGCAAAGAGTATAGCAGATCTCTTCATTACATATATGCAAATCTGAACTTAAAACAGAATAGGTGCGCTGACAAGGAAAAAAATGTCCCACTAACCAGTGCTAGTGATGCACATTTATCTTTGCATGTGTGCATGCCTAGGGGAGGGGGAGGATAAGATTTTAACATGGTATTTGTTTCTTATGTATTTTAGTTCAACAAAATATGACGAAAATTTTAATTGCCGCATGCAGTTAGAGCATCCAGGTTGCAAATGGACCTTTCTATTCTCCCCAGCAAGATTGAATTTTAGTTGTGTAAGCTGGTCAAACTTAGCTTTAGCAGCATCCAAATTCACCATTATGCTTTCAGCCACATCATCCCGAGACTCTGAAGATTAGCAACAATTTGTTACTTACATCTGACATTTAATAACAAACAAAGATGTTAAAAGAACAGCTGTTACTAGTATTATCTTACTAAAGAGTACAAGTACCGTAAATTAGAATCATTAGTCTCCAATAAGATAAAATTTGGAAACAACACCCTTGCCCTGCTTATATGCATCAAAACTCCTTATTTTGTCATAGTTCTTCAAAATTCATCATTACTGTAGTGGCCACATCTTCCCTAAACTTCTCAGGATTAGAGATTGATTTCTATTTTACATTGAAATGTTTAATAACAAACAGTGAGCTGAAAAAAAAAAATAGTTATTACTAATGTTGCTCACTGAAAGCATATGAGAACCATAAATTAGGGACAGGGATCCTCTGATAAGTAAAATTTGGAAACTATATCCTGGCCTGCAAAATCATACTTTTGTGCCATTTTCCAAGAAGCTATATTTCTTGTGCTAAAGTAGTAAAATTATATGCCTCGGACAGAGGCACTTTAATACTTGCCGGTTATATACCACTTTATAAACGTATAAATGCTAATATTGTGACTTTCTAAGGCTTTGTTCAGTGTCCAAAAGATTGGAAATTGTATTCGCTATGGTGAAATTGCATGACTTAAAGCTGATGAAAGTCAATGGTTCTTCCAGATCTATATATATCATCCAGCAGGCAAATCTGGCCACAGGCTTTTTGAGTCCTCTATGTCTGGAAAATTTAATTCCAGCATTGCCACATTATCAGACTCAATTCCTACTTTTAGCTTGTAGCAAGTTGGCAGTTTGCTATTTGGTAATATGTTTCTCATAATTTATTGAGGGTATTTACTAACTATTCTCTTGTCGAATTAGATGGTCATTTCAGTGAAGGCAATATTCTGCTCATGACACACTCATCCATGAAATAGGACATTAAAAAGGTGAATGGAAAATATCATTTTTATTGCATAGCAGAATGTCAGGAATCTATTAGTTGTACCATTGGCGCCACCTGCTTTTTCCTTTACCTGCATCTGTCAGAAATTAGCAATCAAAATATCTCATCAAGAAATAGCACGATGTAAAAATAACAAGAGTGCTAAAAAAGTAGAAGTAGCTCAGATTTAGCATTTTACTCAGCAAACAATCAGCTTAAAAATTCGATGCAAGTGTAACTTGAGTCAACAAAATGCTTCAAAGAAAATTTTCATATGCATAATATATGTAGCTAGATGAGAATTATGCACCACAAACATTAAACACTATATTCCCTGTCAAATTATATTTGTCAGAGAAGAACCATTCAGGTAAGGATGCTAAGAATAAAAATGGACATATATCAGTGAAGGATCAAACAGGCAAATCAAATACCCAATTCCACATTATAAAGCTACTGGCGGAAAGAACAGTGTAGAGACCTTATAACTGGATTATGATTTAGTGCCAATGGATTTGAACCATCAAGCTTGAAGAAGATCAGGGGAACATAAAACAAGTAATGCATTTAACATTTAAGAACAGTCAATTTAGGTAATACTTGGACTATATTATGTGCCATCAAAGTCAAAATATGTAAAGGATAACAAGCTCGGGGAATTTACCATGTTTAACACATCTAAATTTTTGCCAGATTCTTCTGTCACTTCAATACAATTTTGATTTATTTAAAACCTGTTACACTCCTAGCTCGGTAAAATTATTTGGTTGATATCATTGTAAAACTCATACATGTGAATATGCAGTGTATTTTCCATAAATATGCATGTAAGTCATTAGTTAATAGTACATGATTTCACTGAAACAACGAAGTATTTCGAAAATTACCGAGCCACTCTCTCCAGTCGGTGAGCTAAATTTTTGAGCATTTGCCCACTCCTACGCAGTAAAATTATGACAAGATATCAGAATAACAAAGTGCGCTTGCATAATCTAGATAATGAGATAATGCAGCAGAAGAATTCAAACCTTCTGTTGTTTTAATTGCATAGCAATGTCCTCTTCAACCTTGATATAGTATGCGCTGTAATGATAATCAAATATGTCTACTGTTACATGATATTTCACAGCATCTTGTGATATGTGCTCTTCAAATTACCTTCTTTCAACATTTTTTGCTGCCAAGCTTAGTCTTTCTTGTTGCATAAGGTCCAATGTCTGCATGCCAAAGAAGCAAGATGAAAGTAATTCTAATTGGTTTGTGAGTTGGAGAAAGTTCTTTGTGGCCTACAACTAGGCTTAATCCTGTCTCAGCTGTGAAGTGTATCGGCAAGTCAGTTAAGTTGCATAAAATAATATGCACAGCAATGTGTCTTGACAAGAACTGCGACAAGATTTACTTCTAGAATTTCAGGTATAAGCACTTCCCCAGTTGTGTAAGAAAACAATGCCTGAGCACATAAAATTTGATTTTTTTTTCTATATCATGTTCCCCATTTTTCACTAGTCTATACTCCCTCATAAGTTTCAAGTATCAACTGGTTCTTTCTTCAAAAACCTACAGATAAATTGCTGTTCAACTTGATTAGCATGCAACCTAATACTTGTAATTAATGGCTTGATTTTTGAAAGGTGAATTATCTCAAGGACAAGTGAGGATGAAAAGTAATATGAGTGACTTCTGAACATACATTTAATGGATGAAATACTGTAAAACACTAGTTGTAAAGGTTCTCATTAATTTGCACTAGCAGGAAATACCCCCACTAAAAGAACAAAGCAATACGTAATATGATTAACCAACTGAAGTGACAACATAAGCAGGAATCAGAAGATGGCTAAAATTAGCGCAAATTTAATTTAAAGTTAAAAATGTGAAACCATAAATGTATATAAAATGTGTCTTTTTATGGAAGAAAGAGCCTAAAATCTGCACCCAACTTCATCCACTCAATTGATAGAACGAGGGGAAAGCACGAATACAATAGATGTACACCAAGGGATTCTACTTTTCGCATCATTATAACACCGGTAATTCTTGTTCTTTACAAATCATATAACATCCAACATATATGTTAGGCCCAAGGATGCGAATGAGAAATTGTGGCATGCAGATGTCTATGACAGCTTTGGCCAACCACTTTCTTTTATATTGATATCGTTTAGCAAGGTGAACAAGCCACCATCCAATGAACAAATGTTTTTTAATTCAAGTTTCTGTTGTGCGGTGGGGGGAGATGAAGAGGGAGAATATAGGTTTTGAAATACTTGACAATAAGTGTATCTCCATTGAAAGCTAAAAACTTGTACATATGTGAAAAAAAATAAATAAATAAATAATAAGAAACGGTACCTGAACAAGGGTGGAAGAATCACATTCCAAAGAAGCAATTTTCTTCTGCTTTTCCAGAATCTGCAAACAGATCTGTCCTTTAGCTTTTGCCATCTGGTCGTTTTCCTCTTTCCATAGCCTCTTTTCATTCTTTGCTGAATCATTTTAATGTCAATAACTTTACAACTTCAAACAACAGAAGCAATGCTTTTGGACTTAATAGACTAATGCATAACTATATTAAATGAAAAGGAATAACGTTAAGCTCAATTTAAAAAAAGTAAAGCTAATTCATTAACCTAAGTTATCTAAAGGGAAGAATCTAAGTAAATTCGAAAGGATAAATTTAAACGCCCATGACTTGAATCAAAATTGCAAAAACACTTCCGATAAACACACAGCTAGTCTTAAAGCTAAGTGAATCTCACTTGGATATTTGATCCATGGATTCACATTTCTATCAATAATGAGTAATTATTTTCCAAAACAGTCTCAAATTCAATATATAAAAAAATCAAAAGAAAAAAATAAGGAAAACTAGACGAAATAACCAGCAATTACATCATCATAAAAAAGTCTCTTTCATAATATTATTATTCGTTGATACTGCGAATTTTCTTTGATTAAAAAAGGTTAGATAATGTAAAATTAGATATTACATGGCACAACCTAACTCGAGATCTTTTTCCAGAGTTTGAATAGTGGTGCTGAACATTTGCTCTTCGACTGTAATTTTGGCCGCTTGATCCTCAACGTCTGCAATTCCTCGTATAATTATTAATCATTTCTATTTGATTTCGCATAAGAACACAATTAAACACGCTTAGCTTCGTGTCATTTAAATGTAACGTAAAATTAACCACAAAATATCAAACAAATTGAACAAATTAAACAACCGATAAGGAAGTCTTCTTACCGTTCATTTGGAAGCGGAGAGTCTTCATGTAGTGCAGGTACTCCTCCATTTTCACCGTGTTCGACAGATATTTGCACGCAATATCACACGTTATATAACTTTCGGATCAATTACTGGTAAAAGAAACTCGAAAAAATATCTATATGCACGTGTTCGAAATTTTACCGAATTTTGAAAAAGAAAAAATAAAGTGAGAAGAATGATGGATCAAATTAATGGAATCTGTATATGGTGCGGGAAAAACGAAGGTTTTAGTGGGAACGGAGATTTTGGAGTGTGATTTTGAGGGAAAATACAACTAAACCGCCTAAATAATAGGAAGGTTTTTGAAATTAATCTAAGAAATGAAAACATTTGAAAAATAGTATTCAAACAACTATCCTTCCAAAAATATCAAAGTCACTACAATGTATAAAAACCTTCAAATAGATCCTCAAGAAAATATAGATCATAAATCTTTAATAAATTTAAATTCAAATATAATACAAAATTTTATTGATCTAAAAAATACAACAGAAAGTGAATTAAACTATTTAGAAGAAGATCTGAAAGGATTTTTTACAGAATATTTAGATCCAAAATTAAAAAATAAAAACGTTTTTATAGATAATAATACAATCAAAACAGAAAATGATATATATAAACTAATTTTTAATCTGAGAAGAAGAATTAAAGAACTAAATAAAATTATTAAAGAAGGAATATTAATAAAAAATAGTGAATTTTATAAATTTTATTGTGATATTTTAAATACTTATGAAGATTTTAACCCCTCCGCTGCACACTCCGAAAAGATGGTATCAGAGCCAGATTACGAAGATGAATATAGTAGATGAAGAAAATATAATTGAATAATTCTTGAAAAAAATCGAAAAACATAAAAAACCTAGTTATCCTTATTTACCTAAAAATACCACAAATGAAAATTTTGGGGATATACATAAAAGATTAGAGAATCTAGAACATAATCTACAAATAGGAAATGCCCTATTAGATAAAAACCTTAGAGGAAAATATAGGATTATAATTAATCCACCTCAAGATTTTAGGATAACACAAAAAGAAAATAATAAAGAGAAAAAACATGAAAAAAACAATACATGATTACAGATGTAGAAGAAATAGAACAAAAATTCTTAGAATTTACAGGAGAAGAGTATGAAGAATATAAAAAACAGTTAGAAGAATTAACTGAGAAAATGGAAAATATAAAGATGAATACTAATCCATCTTCAAGTCATGATATAAAGGTAGAATTTAGTAATGATGAAGAACAAGATTATCCTTATGGTACCCCAATACCTGATAAGGCTGATATTAATCAATATAGAAAAACACAGAAAAAATACACTGGAAATGCAAGAAAACAATCCATAAAAGAAATAAATCCAATGAAATCTTATAATGAACCAATCCACACAACAGGAGTATGGTTAGATCTAGATTGTGTGGACAAAGATAAAGCCATTGAAACATGGATAAAAAGTACAGATTTAGCTATACAATTTAACAAATGGGAGACATATACAATTTTTGGATTTATAGAACATACATTCAGAGGAATTATTTTTGAATGGTGGAGAAAGTTACCAGAAATTATTAAAGAAAGAATAAAATATGGAACAAACAGAACTGAAGTATTAGATAATAGAAATACTTTAAATGAACAAAACATACAGGAAATATTAAAAAAATTTGAAAAGATCTTAAGAACAGAATTTCTAGGAGATAGGTATGCTTCTAATGAAGAAGAAAGAAAACAAGATGAATATAACCAAGGAATGATTTTAATGGAAAATTTAAAGATATGTGATATGTGTGAGTTAGAAAGATATACATGTAAATTTGAAGAATTATACTATATACTTAATCAAGGAGACTATCAGGAAAATAAACCTATTTTAAGGTCTTATTTTACCAAGTTACCATTTCCATGGGGAATCAATTTACTAAAAGAATATGAGAAATTACTACCTCTAGGAAAAGAGGAAGGAGTTGAAATAGATAGTCTTGGAAGTAGAATTGAATTTACAAGAAGAATGATAGGAATGTGGTGCAGAGAAGCACTAGAAAATAAGAAAGCTTATAAAATAAGAAAGAATTCATTATGTTGTTATAAAGATAATGGCCAAGTTGAACAATTTGGATGCCATAAAAAGAAATATAAATCATATAAGAAATATAAAAGGAAATTCAAAAAATATAAAAAATTCAATAAAAGGAATTTTAAACCATATAAAAAATATTTTAAGAAAAGAAATTGGAATAAGAAATTTAAACCAAGAAACATTAAAAAATGTAGATGTTTTATTTGTAATGAAGAAGGACACATCGCTCCTCAATGTTCTAAAAAGAAAGATAAACAAAACATAAAAACTCTTAAAATTTATGAAAAATTCCAAGAAGATAGTAATATAGAACCAATCGAATATTTTGAAAATTTAAATAGTGAATGCAGTAGTATTTATGAATTAGATACATCTTCATCAGAAGAAGATTATGAGGAGATAGTATATATGAATCAAGAGATACAACAATCAGAAATAGAAATAGAAACAACTGAAGAAGTTGAAGATTCTATAGAAGGTATTAATCAGGAAATAATTTTTGATATTAAAAAATATGCAGGAATCACTAAAAAGATATTAGACCTACAAGAAAAAGATGTATTCCATCAAAGATTCTTAGGAATATTACCAAGGGTAAATAAAACAATTGTAAGTATGAATTATAAAGAAATGTCTATCAACATAGAAGATACTATAGGAAAGGCAAGAATTCCTATAATCACAAAAGAATGGGTAAAACAAAAACTATCCAAAATCCCAGAAAATGTAAGAAACAAATTAAAATGTATTGAATTAGGAGGAGTCCAGATAATGGTAAAAAGATTCTTTAGAGAAGGAATGAATATACCAATAGAAATATACTGTATGGACAATAGAATCTTACAATATCCTATAGATGCCCTATTAGGAACAGTTGTAGGAAACTTAGTCTATCAAAAGATAATATTTACAGTAAAACCAAATTATGCAATATCATTAAGTGATGAAAATATTGACCAAAGTTTCAATCTATATTATAGAATTGGAAATTTAAAAATGTTAAGAAGAAGTAAGGCTATTAGTATAAGCATAAAATCAATTTTTGCTTTTAGTACTAGCCATCATAACAATCTAAGAAAAATAACTGATAACATTATCATACATAAAGACTTTGAGGAATTAGCACAATATATACCTCCTAGGAAATATCAAGAACATGAAGTAACGATACTAGAACAAATAATGCTTGATTTCCATAAACAGGCAAAAGAAATTAATTCTGAAGGAAAATTAATAAGAAGAAATAGTGTCAGCTTAGAAGGAGACAATCTTATTGCAAGATTTCCCTCTAGACAAGAATCTAGGATAAGCAGACTTAAGAATTTAAGTATTGCTGAACCATCAAGTTCACAATATTACATTAAGACAAGATATGTAAATCAAGAAGGATTTAAGAAAAATCTTCTTGTCGTTATAGATACTGGAGCAGATAAAAGTCATGTAAATGCCAAATTTGTTAATCAACTAATAGATTTTGAAATACCAGAACCACATATATTTAAGGATTATTTAGGAAATAATCTTGAAATAAGAAAATATGTTAAATTTCCCCTTATACTTGCAGGAGAGGATCAGAAAGAATATACTAAAGAAATAATTTTATATAAAGATGAATTATATGGAGTAGATCGTTCACCTATTCTACTAGGAATGAACTTTTTTGAGAAATTTAGTCCTTATAAAATCTGCCAAGGATATTTGAAAATAACAGTTGACGATAATCCAATTATCATTCCAAGAATAGATGAAAATATGAAATCATTGTTATCATGGAAAGAGTAATAAGTATTAATCCCATGAGCCCATATATTGAAATTACACTCAATATAAAATTATTGTAGAATTAAATTTCATGCTTACTTAGATACAGGAAGTACAATAAGTTTATGCTTACCAAATGTACTGTCATCTGAATACTGGAAATATAATTCAAAGAAGGTAGTAACTGCTACAACAGCAGGTGGAAATAAGGTAATATACAGCAAGTATGCTAATCAAGTACCTTTTCTAATCTCCTTTAAAGAAGTATTTGTTGATACAATATATATGTCAACCACAATTGGATGTGATATTTTATTAGGACAAAATTTCCTATTAAAATATGCGCCATTTACACAATATATTGATAAGTACATGTTCACAACACCTTGTGTACATAAAATATTTACACCAAAAATAAATAAAGCTGTTACAATTGCATATAGAGATATAAAATATCAGAGTTCTTCAACCCAGCGTGGTGGATGTTGGAGTACAGAAAAATTTAAACCAGTTACAGTCTTAAAAATTACAACAGAAAATAGGTTAGAAAAATTGAAAAAAGAAATCTCTGAAACATATTCTGAAAATCCATTAGAAAAATGGAATACAGATAAAGTAAAGGTAAATATAGAATTAACTAATCCAGATATTATAGTAAGGGTCAAACCTATGAAATATAGTGTTGATGATTAAAAAGAATTTAAAAACCAGATAAAAGAATTGCTAGAAGTCAGAGTGATTAGGCCAAGTAAAAGCCCACATAGCAGCCCAGCCTTTATGGTTAGAAAATATAGTGAGATAAAAAGAGGAAAAACCAGAATGGTAATAAACTACAAAAAATTAAATGAAGTTACCAAATTTGATGGATACTACTTGTCAAATAAGGATACCCTTATTAAACAAGTACAGAACAAAAAGATATTTTCAAAATTTGATTGTAAGTCAGGGTTTTGGCAAATCATGCTTACAGAAGAAAGTAAACCACTAACTGCATTTAGTACCCCTAATCCTTTAGGACAATACGAATGGAATGTAATGCCATTTGGGTTGAAAAATGCACCACAGATATTTCAGAGAAGAATGGATGAGGTAATCAAACCAATTACTCAGTTTTGTATTGCATACGTAGATGATTTACTTATTCATTCAAATAATATTGATGAACATATTGAGCATCTTGGAAAATTCTGTTATATTATGAAAAAACATGGTATTACACTTTCTCAAAAGAAAGTTGAGATAGCTAAAATAGAAATAGAATTATTAGGATTATTTATAAAAGAAGGAGAATTGCAATTGCAATCCCATATTGGAGAAAAGCTTCAAGAATTTCCTGAAAAAATCAAAGATAAAAAACAATTACAATGCTTCCTTGGTATATTAAATTATGCTGAAGGATTCATTGAAA